CAGCCACCTGGAGACTGAGGCAGCAGGATCTCTGTGAGTTCAGATAAGCCTGGTCTAATGAGTTCTCGGCCCAGCAGGGATACATAGTTGAGATCCTGAATCAAAAATAAATCAATGGGATTTAAAAGATGGGATTGAACTACAGGAGCAGAGACAACCCAATGTCTGGTGACTGCGGCTCCTCTTCTGGGCCATCAGAAAGGAGAAACCAAGTCTGTTGAGCAAAAGGGTAGAAAAGAGCAAAATTACAGGGAAGGACTAGATAAAAGATGTGCATGGCTATATTTTCTCGTCCCCACATCTGAGTTTCCCAGTTCTTTCCTAAGCCCTGTGAACTCCTGTCCCTGGAAATGCCTCACTGACCTGAATCAAATCAATTGAGTTGTTGCAATTGTGGATGCTAAAAGTAGCCCAGGGCATGGTGGCTCATCTGTAAAGTCAGCACTTAGGGAGCTGAAGTAGGAGGATCTGGAGTGGTCCACCAGACTGAACTACTTAGCAAAATCTTGCCTGAAAGACAAACAGAAAAACTGCTGGGTGTGGTGACTACACCTTTAATTTCAGCACTTGGGAGGCAGAAATAGGTGGATCTCATTGAGTTCAAGGTCAGCCTGCTGCCCTTAGTGAATTCCAGGTAGGCCAGGGCTTTGTGGCGAGAGTCTGTCAAAACCAAAGCAAACCAAATCAAAAAGCTCACCTACAAACAACCACAACAAAAATCAAAAGAACTAAACATCCAACCAACAAAAATGTTACCTCAAATAAAACCACAAATAGCGTTTAAAGTAAGACTGAGGATATGTCTGTAGTGAGGTCTTGAGTTCCATCATCAGTAAGTAAATAATAATCGTCATGTAACAATAAAGCTCAAAATAGTGATACTATCCAAACTATCCACTACAGTGCATCTTTGAATATTTTCAAATCTACACATTTATTTCATTTCTCTACTTCAGGAGTTGTATGTGAAGAATCATCTGAAGAAAAAGTAATTGCTTTTATAATTTTTATTCAATGCTTCTTTGGATTTTTAAAACTAGCCTGAATATAGGTAATGTTATATAAACATATTTTGCAGTTCTTTTTTTTTTGTATACTTTCCTCTCCATTTTGGTATTGGTGGTGAAACTAAGGGCCTGTGTCTGCCAGACAAATGATCTCCCATTGAGCTATATACCCAGTCCCCATCTGTACTTGTATAAGAAACACTTTCCTTTAATTATTTGAGTGCTAAAAATAATAGCTCACCCACAGCCTTTAGAATAACATTACAATTCCCTCACCTTCTAGTTTTTTAATTTTTTAATTATTTTTAATGGTCTTTACTTTTTTCCCTTTACCTCAACACAAGTGCTTCAGTAGGTGGTTGGCTTACGTTTGGCCAGCTCTTTATTTGAGCCTAAATATTGTTTAAGATATTTTTTTTCCCTCGGTTTATGTTTATGAGATTGTCACCAAGGACTCTCCCTTTACTTTTGAGTATCTGGTGACTTCTGAACTGATAAAGCTCAGATGAACAGGAGAAAAAAAATCACGAGGTCATGCATATTTTAAAAGCACAGAGTTCACAGAAAAGGAATAAAACTCAAAGATGTTAGAACTGAGAAACTTAGAATAAATTATGGTAGCCCAGGAAATTTGGGCTTAGGTTTCAAGAGATGACACAGGTGGTGAAGAGAACCATTCCTGCCCTCATCTTCTCCGAGGAAAGCCTTGCATGATCGCCCTCTTTGCATCCAGAGTGGTAGAAATTGTTCTCCGTTTCCAAGTAGAAATTCCTTCACCAGGCAAATTTCTTCTAGTTTAGATAAGAAAACTGATTTTTTCTGTGTCTGCTGATTTTCAGTTCAATATAATCCTCACGCCAACATGCCAACATTCTCTTTTCTTTCCAAGTTTATATCTATTCTTACTAATTTTATAATTTCCAACAATTAGATATACTATTACTCTCCCTAGGCCTAAAGCTAACAGGTAGTTGAGCTACATAAACTGGAAGGGAAATGTACACAATAGCTTTGTGTTTGAAATCCCAGCTAGAGAGGAACAGAAGCCAGGCATGTAAAGTTCCACCATCAGAGCATTTGGAAGAAATCGGGAATTAGGGGCTGGTGGCAGCAGCACTTACTGAGAGAGCTAGCATTACCTGAGCACTCATTTGTAGTAAGTTAAACATAGTAGGTGTTTATTATACACTTATTTCACAACACAGACTTGGCATAGCACATCTAGGTGGGTGTTATTATTACTCCCATTTTAGAGATTAAGAATGGAGGTTTGGCAACACTAAGGATTCAATTAGTTAGCTTCTGATCTATGAGTCAGTATCATTATCTACTATGTAGTAATAATTTCCGCAAAACTATATGAAACATAAATTTAATTTAAGATTTCTAATCTTGCATTAAAGCTAAAAGAAACAACTGAAGTCTATTTTAATGTTGTCAACCTAGGATGAACAAATATTTAAATAATTTGAAATATTTTTTCAACTTTTTTCATATGAAGTCTTTGTAATCTGGAATACACTTTTTACTTAAAGCACAATTTGAACTAGACTAGCTAAATTTCAAATGCTTATCTGCTATCTATACAGTTCTCATAGTAAATAGTTTAGGGAAAATAAAAACATGCTCTGGGGTAGTATCTAGCTGTTTCCAAGGAAACTGACTCCGCTGTGGTTCTTAATTTTAGAGAGCATCATTAATATCGTGTGTTTTACTGGCTCATCTATGTCTCTTCACGCCAGCTCTGGTCAAGTTCAGAATCTAATCCAGGCCAGTCTCTCACAACTTCTCTTGTCTATCTGGAGGCAGCCTTATATCTGAAATGAAATCACCTTTGAAGAAGATGAAGAAGAAACTGTGTTTGATCATCCATTTTGTTACAAACTTCTTTAAGAGAAGATATTAATTGTATTTGTTTGCTGTGAGACTGGCTGGTAACATTTGTCAGTTGTTAACTTATTAAAATCCCTTAGTCTGAAATGAGAGAAAATGATTTGATAGCTAGTAATAATAAGTAACATTTCAAGCTACCTTTTATATTTATTTCTTTTGAGACAAGGCGTCACATTGTTGCCCATATTAACCCATAATACACCCATGACAGCCAGGCCTCAAATTCCTTATCATCTTGCTTCAACCTCCTGTTGAGGCTAAGTACTTGATTCAATACTGGATGAATCTATAAAGTGTTCTAAAGTTATACCAGGGATTTCACTTAAGGTCGAGTGTTCAGATTGCTCGTAATTATTGTTTTTATTGAACACCACATGCTTTCTCCCCACTTTCTCGGAGAATGGCATCACCATCTAAAGGATTCTAGTAAGCAGCCATGACCCAGGGCCAGAGTCTCGAAACAGATGAGCTGTGCGAAGTAAAATGTAAACCAAGTACGGGACGCAGGTGTGGAGCCATGTATGATCTGAGAAAGGCAGAGCTTAGAGACAAGTTTACCAGGTGTCTGACCTCTGAATTCGGATCATAGGTCTGTACTCATTCTGTTATTTAGTATTATGTTATGGATATAATTTTATTATGTATTGTAGTCATTTAGACTTGGGTTTTTGCATATACATCTACTGTGTGTATATAAAATCTTACCAGGATCCAAACATAATGGTATGCGAACAAACAGCATTCTTAAATTTTGCATGTTTTCCAAAATTAGAATATTCAACATATTCATAGGGTACCTAAATTTAGATATAGAACAGCTATATTTCTTAATCTGGGTAGATTTGATGCTTCTATTCTGAAGGTGGGAAGACTCAGCTGGGCTTTCCAACACAAAACGCAAAGCCTGTGCCATACAGTTACTCTTAGTGCACAGAAAGCAATCTAAAGATATTAACTGATCCTTTGAATTACAATCATTTGAGAGATAGAACTAAAAATGACAGGATATAAAACCGGTAGAGACCATTGAATGCAACATAAAACAGGCTACAGCACCATTACATGAAATTTTGGGTGGCTCTTAAAAGAGCCTTTTTTAAAGAACGAGGATGATTACATTATGCCCTCTCGCCACGAATGCGGCGGGCCAGCTGGATGTCCTTGGGCATGATGGTGACTCGCTTGGCGTGGATGGCGCACAGGTTGGTGTCCTCGAACAGACCCACCAGGTAGGCCTCGCTGGCCTCCTGCAGCGCCATGACGGCCGAGCTCTGGAAGCGCAGGTCGGTCTTGAAGTCCTGCGCGATCTCGCGCACCAGCCGCTGGAACGGCAGCTTGCGGATCAGCAGCTCGGTGGACTTCTGGTAGCGCCGGATCTCGCGCAGCGCCACGGTGCCGGGCCGGTAGCGGTGGGGCTTCTTCACGCCGCCGGTGGCCGGGGCGCTCTTGCGGGCGGCCTTGGTGGCTAGCTGCTTGCGCGGGGCCTTGCCGCCGGTGGACTTGCGAGCGGTCTGCTTAGTGCGAGCCATAGTAGTCACGAAAACTACACAAATGTAATGAAGGAAGGGAAATCTTGCCCTTAAATATACTTAGAAACATTCTGATTGGCCTTGAAACTTTCGAAAGTCCCGCGCCACAAACTCATTGGCTGAGAAATATTCGGAGTATCCGGCAGCGTTAAGAGTATCTGATTGGCCTCAAAGTTAGAGAAACCTTGTGGGGGGGGGGGGGCCCCCCACAAAAAAAGAAAAAGAGTATCTGATTGGTCAAATTATTCTGACACTTTCATATTACCTTTTATTTTTTTAAAAATTGGGGCTTTTTAAAAAAAGTTTTGTGTATCCTTGGAAATCCAACAAGCCTGAGCGACTTTACTATGCTCCATTTTTCCTTCGTTTCGTGGTCTTATTGTTTCGTCATGGTACAATATTAGCGGTTGGTCAAGATTCAATACTCAAAATTTATGTTCTTTAAAGAAAGAAGTTTCCCACGGCCTTAATGTGGAGAGTTTAGCGCATAGCCTTAGCAATCTCCAAATTCAGACATTTAATGGAAGAATATTTTAACTTTGTTTTGTAATAAGTTGTAGACCGTGAGGTTTTACGTTGGAGTGCAACATGCCTTTTCAATAATCATGTATTAAAAGCAGGATACTCAAGGTACCCTATTAATCACATTGTTTTGTGGAAAGTAAGTGAGTCTTTACATATGTTGGTGCTAACTCCCGACTTTGGTCTTTGGTTCTATTTTTCCTTGGCCTTGTGGTGGCCCTGGATCCTCTTGAGCAGCAGCAACGCCTGTATGTAGGGCAGGACTTTGCCCTGCGAAATGATGCGTTTATTCTTGTCGCGGGCGGCGTTGCCAGCCAGCTCCAGGATCTCGCCCGTCAGGTACTCCAGCACGGCAGCCAGGTACACGGTGGCGCCGGCGTCCAAGCGTTCCGAGGCGTTACCCCGGTGGAGGAGCCCGCGCACGAGACCCACAGGGAAATGTAGATTATTTCGGGGAAAAACGGGTCTTGCCCTTGGAGCAACGCTCGCAGACAATCTGAACAATTCATTACCGAAAACACGTAAACAGTGAAAAATCAAGGGTTAAAGTAAACGTTCTTATAGACTAGTCTAGTTAATAAAAGAGAACAGTCCTATTGGTCACGGTAACCCTTTTTTGTCCAATAAAATATAAGGATTTGGGTCCTTCATTTGCATGAAGCCGTGTAAATTTTTTTTTTTTTTAAATCCTTTACTTTTATCCAATCAGAGCTGGTTAATTTTACAGCCTCATTTGAATTTCAAGAGTATAAATAAAACCATCCTGCAATGCTTCCTTTTTTCCATTTTAGGACTTACAGCTCCTATTTGGTCTGTAAAGGATGCCTGAACCTTCCAAGTCTGCTCCAGCTCCTAAGAAGGGCTCCAAGAAAGCCATCACCAAAGCTCAGAAAAAGGATGGCAAGAAGCGTAAGCGCAGCCGCAAGGAGAGCTACTCGGTGTACGTGTACAAGGTGCTGAAGCAGGTCCACCCCGACACCGGCATCTCCTCCAAGGCCATGGGCATCATGAACTCTTTCGTCAACGACATCTTCGAGCGCATCGCCGGCGAGGCGTCGCGCCTGGCTCATTACAACAAGCGCTCGACCATCACGTCCCGGGAGATCCAGACGGCCGTGCGCCTGCTGCTGCCCGGGGAGCTGGCCAAGCACGCCGTGTCCGAGGGCACCAAGGCCGTCACCAAGTACACCAGCTCCAAGTGAGCGCGCCCATCTCCGCTCTTAACCCAAAGGCTCTTTTCAGAGCCACCCACTCTATCAAAATAAGAGTTGTAATTGGTGTCCTTTGCACTTTAATGTGTTGGCCCCAAATTTAATGTGTTTGTACTTTAGTAAAACACAGGTCATTTAGGGTTTACCTTAGGTGTTACACGTTCACTTTCTACTTAACCAGTTTCTGTTCTATTGTGCGCTTACTAAGTGCTTGCGTTGTGGGAACGTTTATAATGGTAAAAGTTTAGGTTTCTAGTGTGATCTTAGTACTTAAAAATTGTACCTAGTTGAGCCCTCCAATTGAAAACAACTAGTTTCCTAAGTTAATATTTTTTCCTTCGTCCAGAAATCTTGGGCCTTTTAAGGGTTGGGCATTGATAGTGGCCGGAACTCTGAGGAGTTTTATCTGTAACCACTTCGCTTTGCTGAGGACCATGTTGACAACTCCAAGACTTCCAGAGTAATCTCTAGAAACTGGTAAAGGATTCAGCAGTGTCCTGAGCCCTTGGACTAGGGGAGGGAGGAAGACTGGACCAGGCCTGGTGAGGTAAAAGGCTTATTGAGTAGAAAAATAATTTTTTTCCACTGGCTTTGAGAATAAGACAAATTTTGGAAAATAACGGAGGTCTATCAAGAAACAGGAGGCAAGCTGGATGGTAGTTGGTGCAAGCCTTAAAGCCCAGCAGTAAGGAGGCAGAGACAAGTGGATCGCTGAGTTCAAGCCAGCCTGGTCTACAGTGCTACAAAGACCCTACACCCCGCAAAGAAAAGAAAAAAGAAACGGATGGCAGAAAGCCCAGAGACTGTTCATTATCCAATGTGGCAAAATGCATAACCAAGAGGCAAGGAATACCCTATTCTGACTTAATTGCAGGCTGGAAGATGTAGGTTTCTCAATTCTGCCTTCAGCATCTTTCAGCAAAATTTTGAATTAAATTATGAAATTGAAATCATTATGTAGCTGAGGTTGACATGAAACTTGATCTTCTTTCTTCTACCTTGCAAGTGCTTGGATTACCTGGGATTATAGAATCGTGACATTACTCCCTGTACATACGATTCTGAGGTCGATATCCAGGATTTGATGCATGTTATGTGAGCATTCTTTTTCACCCAGTCACATGTGGAAGCCATGATGGTGTTTGGTTTGTTTATATTTGCTAGTTTTTTGTCTTAAATTATTTATGTGTGAATCAGGTTTTAAATTTTAAATTTTAAGTTTCTGAAACTTAAAATTTACTTACTTAAATATTCACCACTATAAATAGTTTCAAATATAGACATGGTAGGCAAACTGAGACAGCTTTTTAAACCATAAAAATACATTTTGATACTCCTCTATGCACTTTATGGGGAATATTGTAGGTGGGATTTGTCGGTTCTGTGATAAACATAGGCTATCTCCATCCCATTACCTAGCTGTGCTCCAAAAGTTGTATAAAATCGTTTTCAGTGGGCAACGGTTAACACCAACATAATCTTTTTTTTTTTGGGGGGGGGGGGGTTTCGAGACAGGGTTTCTCTGTAGTTTTGAAACCAGTCCTGGAACTGGCTCTTATAAACAATTCATTCTTATAACATTTCTTTGAGTGTGATTGCATTATTTATATCTCCTTCATTTTTCTTTCTCACTGACCAAAATAAACCATGCCTCTCAAAATTCTTCGGTGTCATCGAATAATTTTGAAAATACCAGGCTAACAGGATTTCTTAAACCGCTGCCCACCTCAGTCATCTAAGCACACAAGCTGAAAAAGAAGCTCAATTTTGATCAGTTCCTTCTCCAAACCTGAAGCAGGGAAAGTTTACCACAAGAAAGACTACATGTTAAGACCAGACATTGGTATGTATTGTCCATTTAATACACTTGAACACATACATACCAATCCTTTCAAAAAAGACATGTTCTTTCTTACCTTGCTCACATTCCCATGATGTACAGTGAAAACATCAAAGAACCACCTCCATCACACTGGATTTTGGGGCAGGAATTATTCTTTCCTGTGAAGCTTACAGACAGCTAATTTATATATGTTTTCTTATGTTCATTCACGTGTAAATATATTTCATAGGCTTAATTCATCAGACCATGAGTCACGGGATGTTTCCCAACTCCTACACCCTTGCAGCAGGCTATGCACAAGTAGAAGAATGGAGGATAATGGGAGTTTTGTGAAAGCTTAAAATGCATTGGGTTACAGTCAAGTGAAAACAGGAACACGAGAATAATGGAAACAGCTTGGCAGAAAGATGGGCGAGGCTTTCCTAGCGAGCAGAGGAGTTCTTGGTACCTCACAGCCTTGCATGTTCTTTTGAGTCAGTGACTACGCACGTTCTCTCTGCTTTCAGTCTCCAAGCTTCTAGCATTTTAGTGTTAACAGGCCCACTATAAGAAAACTTGCATGACATATTTATACTAATATATATCTACCTACCTATCATCTATTTATCTACCTATCTATCTACTTAAGTACACACACACACACACACACACACATATTTTTCTTTTTTGAGGGGTGGGATTTGTGGAGGCAAAACAGAGCCTGGTGTAGACTCTCAAAATGTGTACTCAACCTGTTATGGGGAGCCCATCAGAGATAACCACTCAGGCACAGTTTATAGTAAATTGAATTATTTATTTCTCAGTCCTGAGCATTTAGGGTGAGAGGCTTTTAAAGGCAAAACCCACATCCTGGGGTCTCACTCTACAAATCTAGAGAGGTTTTCCGCAGTTAGCAGTTTAACAGGCGTTATCTGGGGCATCTTGACCTCTGGTTCCTAGAATGCATCTGGGTCATTTTGAATGGGATTCTACCAGGAAATGAAACTAAAAATTGAACCTGAAATGGCCTTAGCATAAACACGAAGTGCAGTAGGCTCTGCACCGTCTTGCCCTGTCACAAAAACTATAATTCTATGTGACTCAAAACAACTCAGAAACACACCTGCTGTGTATTTGAGAACTTTTGATAACAAAATCTAGAAAGAAAAATGTCATTTAGTAATTTGCATTTAAACAATGGTTGGGGAAAAGTCAGAACAGCCCTTGGCATTCAACTGCCAGAACCCTTTTTTTTTTCTTTTAAAGTAGAAGTTTAAAGAAAATTGAACAGACAAAAAGAGTCATATGCAAATTAGGAAGTCAAATTCTTAGTTTCTATTGGATATTATCTCTTAACCAATGAGAGCAAGGCATTCAAAATCCTTCAAGCTTGTATAAATACTTCACATTTCCAACTCAATGCTTACCCTGGTATTTTCTTCCTTCCTACTTCCTGCTATAACTTAACTGTGGTTATGTCCGGACGTGGTAAGCAGGGCGGCAAGGCTCGTGCCAAGGCCAAGACCCGATCTTCCCGGGCCGGCCTGCAGTTCCCCGTGGGCCGCGTGCACCGTCTCCTCCGCAAGGGCAACTACTCCGAGCGGGTGGGCGCCGGCGCCCCGGTGTACCTGGCGGCCGTGCTGGAGTACCTGACGGCCGAGATCCTGGAGCTGGCTGGCAACGCGGCCCGCGACAACAAGAAGACGCGCATTATCCCGCGCCACCTGCAGCTGGCCATCCGCAACGACGAGGAGCTCAACAAGCTGCTGGGCCGCGTGACCATCGCGCAGGGCGGCGTCCTGCCCAACATCCAGGCGGTGCTGCTGCCCAAGAAGACCGAGAGCCACCACAAGGCCAAGGGAAAATAAGTTGCTCACCTATATCGTGGACTTTCCTGGTGGAAGTGACCTTATTAAAACAAAGGCTCTTTTCAGAGCCACCCACCTTTTTCCAAAAAACGAGCTGCCACCTCAGTTTGAGTTTTTTAGTATAGTCCGTGGTGTATTGTGGAAGGCATACATTACTATATGAAACTCCAAATCTTCCTTTGTTTTATAATTTCATACAAGTACTTTCTCCAATCACTTCGTGAACCATTGTTGAGAACCCGTTAGGATACATCACTAAACCAGAATAAGTAATTTTCTACATACGTTTCTCCAAACTGGTCGTGAACCAAAGTTAAGAACCCATTGGTGTTCAACAACACTAAACAATTAGCATCCGAGTATAAAGGCACAACAATACCAATCATTACCCGGCGTTAAGGCACCCTTTTACAGTTTGCACTGCTCCCAGTTGGTTTTCGCTGACACGAGTTGTTTTCGTGAGACTCCTATTGTGCATTCAAATATTTGGAAGTGATAAACAGTATTTAATACTAAATTACTGCAGTACTAAATTACTGTCAATCCCATTAAACCTTATTAGATGAAATTCCTGATTACCTGAGTTGAACATTTTCAGCCTGAACCTACTGAATGTACAGATTCCTGAGTAAAATTTCTATCCACAGCAGTTATTGTGACGAAAGAGTAAAAGTGGACGCAAACATGGCGGAGGGGCGGATGCGCGGTGTGACGGAAGGGGTGGAGAGAGGGCAGGTTCATTGAAAAACCCGAAAGCGTGTGTTTTAATCAGGATTTAGGAGCAGAGACCGACCAATCCCGGAAAAGCGCGGGATCGTTTGAATGTTCTTGTGTCCAATAGCGGATAGCCTGATTGTATAAAAGATGGACAGCGTATTGGAAGTCATTACATAGTATTTCGCCTTCTTTTTGTTTCACTCATGGCTCGTACCAAGCAGACCGCTCGTAAGTCCACCGGCGGCAAGGCCCCGCGCAAGCAGCTGGCCACCAAGGCCGCCCGCAAGAGCGCCCCGGCCACCGGCGGCGTGAAGAAGCCCCACCGCTACCGGCCCGGCACCGTGGCGCTGCGCGAGATCCGGCGCTACCAGAAGTCCACCGAGCTGCTGATCCGCAAGCTGCCGTTCCAGCGGCTGGTGCGCGAGATCGCGCAGGACTTCAAGACCGACCTGCGCTTCCAGAGCTCGGCCGTCATGGCGCTGCAGGAGGCCAGCGAGGCCTACCTGGTGGGTCTGTTTGAGGACACCAACCTGTGCGCCATCCACGCCAAGCGAGTCACCATCATGCCCAAGGACATCCAGCTGGCCCGCCGCATCCGTGGGGAGAGGGCATAAATTCTTAAGTCAGTGCAAAGTTGAACCCAAAGGCTCTTTTCAGAGCCACCCACGTTTTCTGTAAAAGCAGCTGTGATTCAAAACTAATACCTTTGAAAGTGGCTTAACGAACAGACCAGTCTATTTGTTATGTGTATTTTCAGTAGGTACTAAGGCTTAGATACTGTTATTTGAAACCCTTTATTATACTGCAGAAGTTTCTTTTTTTTCTAGACCTTGTTTCATGTTTTTCCACCAAGTTTCTTCTACCTAATTAAAATTTCCCAAGATCTAACTTCATTGGGTGGTCTGCCTTAATATACTTTAAAGAATGGAATCCCATTGCTTTGCAAAATAACCATTTCATATGAAAGTAAATATTAACTGGGCCCTAGTGGCTCAGGCATGTACTCCCTAATACTGCATAGGCTGAGGTGGCACGATCACAATTTTGAAGTTTGCTTGCCTTACAGGATGATTTTAAAGATAACTGGTAGTTTATTAGGACCCTCTCTCAAAATCCGAAGGTGCTCAGGTAGAGGTCAAAGGGAGCCAACACTTTCCTAGCCAATATACAAAGAAGAAGAAAGTAAAGGTGTATTCCAGGTGTTTGGTTTTTCTAGTGGCTTTTAAAACAGCTCTCCCTGCCAACTGCTTGTCATGTACAGGTGTTTCAAGGTGATGGGGTCCCTTGAAGGTCTACCATCTCAATATTTTGATTTTAGCTGTGCTGGCTTTGATGTCCCCTGCTTTAGTTTCTTTTTTAGATATTTTCTCCTTTCATAAGAAACTAGTGTTTTCAGTGCAGGTCCCAGCAGGCAAGCACTTACTGTTTTTCTGTGATAAGATAGTCTTACATTATCCTGACTCCACAGCCCCCTCCTAAAACCAAGGGTAAAAAAAAAAAAAAAAAAAAAAAAAAAAGGATTCTGGATTCATTCTTTACTTCAGGCTTTTCTTTAATAGAATTTCACAATGAGAGCATGAGAGAGGGCAAGCAAGCAAGCGAGTAGGTTCCTTCAAAAGGGTACACACCAGGGGCCTGGCACCATAAACAGCCATTTGTATGGGAAGCTCACGCAGACTCATTCTGTTCTTGATGTCTGTTGTGTCATGGGAAAGGATCTTTTTCTCCATCTGAAAAGGAGATCAGCACCAGCTGTCCTTCATGATTGTGGCTGGGTATATCTGAATGCCTGGTTTCAGTCTTTCACTGTCTATTATTTTTTTTGTAGTTTAAGTTTTTTAAAAGCCCAAACTAACTTCTTAAATTACTTTCTACCTGGCATTACTCAGTTGCATAAAGTCTGCTCAGTTTATGAATAAAATGTTATCATGTACTTGAAAATCAGCAATGGTAGAAATTCAAGGTCTTTTAGGTTTGTTTTGTTTCTTTGTTTCAGCAAGGGGAATAAGTATTGTCTAATAGCTTCTTATTCTCAACCTAAAACAGGAGAAAAGAAATATTGTTCAGCAGAGTCTACAGATGAGATCATTGTTTACCAAACTATCAGGCACTAAAGGCTAAGTGAATTTTGATCAAACATTGTTTAGCTTTCTTTAGCTTTCTTACTCTCCCATAGTTGTCTGTACTCAACTTGGAATAAAAACACTTAAATGTTTGTGGCTGGGCAGTGGTTAATCCCAGCACTCGGGGAGGCAGAGGGAGGTAGATCTCTGTGAGTTCAAGGCCAACCTGATCTATAAGAGCTAGTTCAAGGACAGGGCTCCAAAGCTACAGAAAAACCCTGTCTCAAAAAAACAAAAATAAACAAAACACTTAAGTTTTTGTCATTTCTTCCGGTCTTCATTTGTGTATTGTGACTTGTTGCCTTGTCCCAAAAGTGATCTAAATTATATTTTTTTGCCAAATTCATTCTCAGGCTCTGATGGAGATCCTGACAGTAAAGCCTTAACTTTAATCTATATAAAATTGAACAGACAGCATGTATTAGACATACTAGATAGTGGCTGTTATAAGAAATTCCGAAAGCATGTGTGCTCCAAGTACCAGAGAGTGGTATTAGGCACAGGATGAAATTACAGCTAGTGTTCTTGAAGGCAATAGCTTGTGTGAAAATTCAAAGCTTTTAAAGAAAAGTCCGATCTTATGTTCAGGACACATTCTTTAGGTTGAACAGTAGTCATACACAGGGACACACGCCTGTAACCCAGCTTTGGGAGGTTCAGACCAGAGGCTTACAAATCTCTTTCCTGGTTACATTGTGCTGTGCAACATTTTCTGGAAAAAAGAGGAGGGGGAGGAAGGAGGAGGCAGAAAAGGGAGTGGGAGCGGGGAGAAAATAGAAAATGGAAAGAAAGACTAGAAAGACAGGAGTTAGCAGCAGGCCATCAGTCTTGACCAGTAGAAGCAACTTCCTGAGTAAGAAGGTAAGCATGTAGAAAAAAGTGAATGGAAGTTCATAAACTTGAACCACACTGCATCTCGGCTGGGAAAAGCTGGGATATGAATGCCAATGCACCGTAGAAAAAAGGACAGAAAGAACTTTTCAAACAATTTTTAAAACTCCATCCCCGAAGTACAAACCAGGATCTGACACTGTCTTCTACTTTACCATCCGCGGTGAGTAAAGCAGCCGCAGTGCCAGACAGACGACTGTGATGAAGCCCATCACACAGGGTTTATTTCCGCTGCCACTTTCCCATCCCTGGCCATCTCTGAAGTGAGGACAGGAATTTACTCAGGGCAGAAACCTGGAAACCTGAGCTGCTGCAGAGACCACAGAGGGGTAATGCTTACTGACTTGCTTCCCATGGCTTACTTTCTTAGAGAACACAGGACCACCAGCCCAGAGATGGTACCTCCCACAAGAAATCCCTCACTGCATCATTCCCTAATTAAGAAAGTGTCCTATAGGCTTCCCCAGCCTGACCTTATGGAGGCATTTTCTCACCTGAGGCTTCCTCCTCCATGATGACTCCAGCTTGGGTCAAGTGGGCATAAAAGTGACCAGCAAAAATATTAACAAGTAAACATATTTAAACAGTACTTCTTTGGAACAATCATCACATTTTAACGTATTACCCAAACCAATGCCCACAAAATACTGGTAGCATTATCAGATGAGTTTTATAGGTAAAAGGGAGAAAGGGGAAAACTACCAGTTTTCCTTAATTATCTATTAATTCATCCCTTTGAACGAGGAATACACTATACAGGTGTGGTAAAATCATACCTCCATCCTCTTGGAGTCCTGCTCAGGTAGGACTGCAAATTAAATTAAGAGAATAAAAGCACCAAGCATTTAACAGTTTTATTGCTCTTATTCAAAAATAGTAATCGGGCAGTGATGGAGCATGTCTTTAATCCCAGCATTTCGGAGGCAGAGGCAGGCGGATCAAAGTTAACCTGATATACAAAGTGAGTTCCAGGTCAATAAGGGCTACACAGAGAAACTCTGTCTGCAAAACCAATCAAACAAACAAACGAGCAAAAAACCAAAGCAGCAGAATCGACTACCTACAGAATCAGGCAAAGGACCAAGTGCAACGATTTGACAAAGCAAAGGGGTTTCAGCTATTACTTGCACTAATTCTGCCTCTGTTCCTCCTAGTAATAAAAAGGTTTTATTTTGTTCTTTTACTATCTTTCACATCAGAATTTTCACTTTCAAGAAACAATAATAATGTGTTCTTTTGGCACCAGGTGTGTATGTGCGTGTGTATTGCTTTGAGCATACATGATTTAGAGTAGTATATGTTTTAACACCTTCAAGTAGTGGGCCATAAATACGTAATTCTTTGTTAGAAAATTCATACAAAAATATAACTTAGATTAAAATAGTGGTATAGTGCAAGCTGGGTGCAAGCTTGGGAAATCTTTTGGCAAATCTTTTGGCTGAAGAAAGGCAGCATTCCTTGTGTTCCACTCCTTGATCCCCGCCCTGCCGGGGCGGAGCAAAAGATACGTTGGCAGCCTTTTGGTCTCCGCCCACTTGATGTTGAGGTTCTCAACCAGGTCCGATAGAAGCCTATAATAAGCCACCATCGGCTTTTGCTGTTCACTTGTTCGTTTGGACCAAGTTTCTAGATATGTCTGGCCGAGGAAAGGGCGGTAAAGGCCTGGGCAAAGGCGGCGCCAAGCGCCACCGCAA